TCATATGATCTCACTGATACGTGGAATTTGAGAAACAAGGCAGAGGATCATAGGAGAAGAGAGGAAAAAATGAAACGAGGTAACCAGAGAGGGAGACAAAACAATAATAGACTCTTAATCTCAGGAAACAAACTGAAGTTTGCTGGAGTGGAGGGGTTTGGGAAGGATGGGTTGGCTGGGTGATGGACATTGGGGAGGGTATGTGTTGTGGTGAGCACTGTGTATTGTGTAAGACTGATGCATCACAGACCTGTACCCTTGAAACAAACAATACATTATATGTTAATTAAAAAAATCATAACATTGTTTCCATTGATCATATTTGGATCATAGTTTTCTAAAATACAGCGTATTTGGAAAAGCGTATCATATCTGTTTGATATGGTACGATTAAAAGTGAGGTTTATGGAGTAGCGGGCAGCTGAATTGAGTAGTTAATCCTTTGTTTTTTGCTAGTTTGTTCCAGGCTTTGGATAATTACCCAGAATAATCACGTTAATCTTCTACAGGATTACATTAGTCTTCTGTTGGGGAGTGGTTCTAATATCTAAATATTTTGAGATTGGCTTGAAATTTAAAATTTATTTTTAATAAGAGCTGAGTTACAATTGGCTGTCAGATGATACAGTTTTCCTCTGTATAGTACTAGAACTATAGCTGAACTCTATCACCGTCTCTAACATAATGCTTTCCAACTTGTCTGTGAGTTCATACTTGAATTGCTTTAGGTGCCCCTGAGAACCAGGAGTTTCACCCTTGTCATCACCTCTTCCTCCCATAGGTAACCACTATTTTCACTCTGACACTATGGATTTTGCCCCTCTTTTCTTGAACTTTATATAAACGAAATCACAGTTTATCTTCATTTGTGATTGGCTTTTGCTCTGCATTGAGGGATCCATGATGACATGTAGCTATAGTTCATTTGTTATCGTGTGTAATACCATATTAAGTAAATATACCACAATTTCTTCTACAGTTAAGGAACAGTTGGGTTTAAAGTTTTTGGCTAATAACAAAGAATACTGGTTTGAACTTCCTTGAACATGTCTTTTGGTGTCCTTATGGATACGTAAATTTGTTAGATAAAATCCCGTAAGTGGAATTGTTGGGTCAGTAGAGTAAGCATCAGTTCAGCTTCTGTCTCAAAATATTTTTCCAGGGGCGCCTGGGTGGCTCAGTTGGTTAAGCGACTGCCTTTGGCTCAGGTCATGATCCTGGAGTCCCAGGACGAGTCCTGCATCGGGCTTCCTGCTCAGCAGGGAGTCTGCTTCTCCCTCTGGCCTTCACCCCTCTCATGCTCTCTCTCTCTCTCATTCTCTCTCTCAAAATAAATAAAATTAAAAAAAAAATTTTTCCAGAATGTACCAACCTATGCTTCTATCTGTAATGTATGTGGATTCTGGTTGCTCCACATCTTCTAGAACACTCTGTACTAGTCTTTTAAGGTGAACCATTCTGTGAGTGTATCACTGTTTTTAGTTTGAAGTTACCTGTTTGATAAATAATTAGGAAAAGCAGCTTTTTGTTTGTGTTAGCCATTTAACTTAATTTTGTGAAGTTCTTATTTTAGTCTCTTGACCATTTTTTAATTGGGTTTTGTTTTGATATATGTACATGTCCTGTGTAAAATCTGGATTCAGGCTCTCTTGGTTGTTGGTATTTTAGGTGTTTTCTCTCTGTTGCTTACCTCTGTTAATGATAGTTCAATTTATTGTACCTTTTTTGTCTAAAGATTTTATTTGAGAGAGCACGTGGGAGCGTGCCTGCAAGCACTAGGGGGGAGGGGCATAGGGAAAGGGAGAAGCAGACTCCCCGCTGAGCAGGGAGCCCTATGTGGGGCGTGTTCCCAGGACCCCAAGATCATGACCTGACGGAAGGTAGATGCTTAACCAACTGTGCCACCAGGCGCCCCTATTGTGCCTTTTTTAAAAATGGTTGCATCTTTTTGTGTTCCGCTTAGGATGTCATTTCCAGTTGTATAGAATTTTATTGATTTTTCTTTTTGGTACTGTTTAATTTGCATGTGGTCATAGTACATGCTTGGTAGGATTTTCACTTGAAATATGTTGCCCTGCTTTATGGCACAGCATATGGTCTAATTTTATAAATGTACTTTATTTTTTTAAAGATTTTATTTATTTATTTGACAGAGAGAGACACAGCGAGAGAGGGAACACAAGCAGGGGGAGTGGGAGAGAGAGAAGCAGGCTTCCCGCGGAGCAGGGAGCCCGATGCGGGGCTCGATCCCAGAACCCTGGGATCATGACCTGAGCCGAAGGCAGACGCTTAACGACTGAGCCACCCAGGCGCCCCTGTAAATGTACTTTAAAAGGAATGTTTATTCTGCAGTTGTTGGGTGCAGTTTTCTATACATTCCAGTTAGGACATTTGTTAATTATGTTCAAGTCGTGTGTGTGTGTGTGTGTATTTTTTTCTTTTTTCTTTTTTTTTGGCCTGTTTCAGGTACTGAGGTAAATGTGCTAAAATCTTACTGTACTTTTGGATTTGTCTGTTTTTCTTTGTGGTTATGTTTAGTTTTTGTTTTATGCATTTTGAAGCTGTTTTATTATGTATGTATAATTTTAAAGTTTTGTCTTGTGCATTTAACACTTTAGAATGTTGAAATGTCCTAGTTGCTTTTGTACTAAAGTCTGTTTTGTTGACTAGAATAGCCTTGCTCACTTTGTTTGGTCACACCCATTCTTTTTATTTTCAACCTTTCTTTTTCTTTACAGTTTAGGAATATCATTTTTAAGCAGCATGAAGTTGAGTTTTTAAACCCAGTCTGGTAGTCTTTGTCTTTTTAACATACAGTCTGTTATGTAATTGCTGCTAAATTTGGTTTACATTTACCATTATACTATTTGATTTTTAAAATTTTTCCTGTTTATTCTGTACTGCCTTTTCTGTTCTAGATTATTTTGTATTATTTCAGTTATCCCTTTTATTAGGTTGGTAGATGTATGCTGTTTTTACTATTCTTTTAGTAGTTATTCTAGAGATTACCATGTGCATCTTAATTTATAAAATGTCTAAATTAATAAGTACTTGTACTTCTTCCCAGTTAGTTCAAGGACCTTAGAACAGTTGAATTCCCATGTACCTGCCTCTGGACTAGACTTTCTTTCATATATCACAAAGCATTATTTTTAATGCTATTTTTACAATCAGTTTTCATTTTGATTTAGCCATGTATATATCCTTTCCATTTTTTATTCCTTAATTTAGGGTCATTTTCTTCTGAGGAACACATTAACATTTCCTATAGTCTGTATATGCCAGGTAACAAAATCTGCTTTTGTATGTCTGAAAATGTTTTCATTTTGAGGGATTTTTTACTGTATGTAAAATTTTACGCCTTTAAATTTTTTTTTGTAATTTTTTTTTATTATGGGTGATTTCAATTATACAGGGAGTAATAATAACAAGTTAAACTGTCAGGAATCCTGTACCCAGTTTTGACAGCTAATTTTAAAGCCAGTCTTGTTTCAGGTATACTTTCCCTTAAGGTGCCTACCTCTTCCTCATCATTTTTTTAAAAAGATATTTATTTATTTATTTAAGAGTGGGGGCAGGGAGGGGAGAGAGAGCACAAGCAGGGGGAGGAGCAGAGGGAAAGGGAAAAGCAGGCTCCATGTGGGGCTTGGTCCCAGGACCCCTGGGATCATGACCTGAACTGAAGGCAGATGCCTAACCAACTGAGCCACCCAGGTGCCCTGCCCTTTCTTCCTCATCATTTTGATACATCTCTCATGCGTTATATCATTTCATCCCTTAGTACTTCAGCATGTATCTCTAAAAAAATAAGGACCTTTTTAAAAAGCAATACATTATCCTGCCTTTGCAGTGAATAATTCCTTAATTTCATCAGTTCAAAATTTCCCTGTTATCTCAAAATGATTTTTTAGTATAATGATAGTATGAATTTATTTTATCTTTTTGTTTTCAAAAAAGACTTGTATTTTTTTAGAGCAGTTTTAGATTCACAGCAAATTGAGTGGTGAGTACAGAGTTTCCATACCCCCTGCTCCACATCCTCCCACCTCCCATACCCTCAACATCCCACCCTATAGTAGTACATTTGTTGTAATTGATGGACATCATCACCTAAAGTCCATAATTTAAGATTCACTCTTTTTCACTTTTTTAAAGATTTTTTAAAAATTTATTTGAGAGACAGCACAAGGGGGGGGAGGGGCAGAGGGAGAGGGACAAGCAGACTCTGCTGACCCTGGGATCATGACCTGAGACGAAGTCAGATGCCCAACCGACTGAGCCATGCAAGAACCCCCCCGCCATAGTTTAAGACACACTCTTGATGTTTTTACATTCTTTGGGTTTTTTTTGACTTTTGTTTAATAACATGTATCTGCCTATTCATCAGCCTTTCCTAATCCCTAGCAACCACTGATCCTCATAGTTTTGCCTTTTCCAGAATGTCATATAGGTCATATAGTTGTAATTATAAAATATGTGGACTCTTCAGATTGGCTTATCTGACTTAGTAATATGTATTTAAGGTTCCTTGATGTGTTTTTCATGGTTTTATTTAAAAATGTGTACACACACACACACAGTTTTATATATATATATATATGAGTAATATTCCATTGTCTGGATGTTCCACAGTTTGTTTATTCATCTACTAAAGAATATCTTGGTTGCTTCTGAGTCTTGACAGTAATGAATAAAACTGCTATAAACATCTGTGTGCAGGTTTTTGTGTGGACATAAGTTTGCAACTTTTATCATTTGTTAATACTACTTAGCTCCTGATTTTCTCCTTTTGTGTGGAATAAGTTTTTAACTTCTTTGGGTAAATACCAAGGAGTGTGATTGCTGGATCAAATGGTAAGAGCTTTATAAAAAACTGCCTTACTGTCTTCCAAAGTATATCAAATGGTACCTCATCAGCAATGAATGAGAGTTCCTGTTCTCCATCCTTTCTGGCATCTAATGTTGTTTTTTGGATTTGGACATTCTATCTAAGAGTGTAGTGTGATCTCCTAGTTTTATTTTTCAGTTCTCTAATGATACAGGATGTGGAGAATCTTTTCATGTGCTTGTTTGCATTTTTATATAATTTTTGGTGAGGTGTCTGTTAAAGTCTTTTGCCCATTTTTTTTTTAATTTTACTTTTATTATTATGTTATATTAATCACCATATATTACATCATTAGTTTTTGATGCAGTGTTCCATGATTCATTGTTCGCATATAACACCCGGTGCTCCGTGCAGAACGTGCCCTCTTTAATACCCATCACCACATTTTTAAAATCATGTTGTTTAATTGGTTGTTAATGTTGGGTTTTAGTTCTTCGTGTGTGTGTGTGTGTGTGTGTGTATATATATATATTTTAAAGATTTTATTTATTTATTTGACAGAGACACAGCGAGAGAGGGAACACAAGCAGGGGGACTGGGAGAGGGAGAAGCAGGCTTCCCGTGGAGCGGAGAGCCCGATGCGGGGCTCGATCCCAGGACCCTGAGATCATGACCTGAGCCGAAGGCAGACGCCTAACGACTGAGCCACCCAGGCGCCCCTCGTGTATATATATATATATATATTTAAAGATATTATTTATTTGAGAGCAAGAGAGAGAGCATGAGCAGAGGGAAGGGGGGGCAGAGGCGAGGGAGAAGCAGACTCCCCTCTGAGCAGGGAAACTGACATGGGGCCTCTATCCCAAGACCCGGAGATCTGACCTGAGCCGAAGGCAGATGCTTAACCACCTGAGCCACCCAGGTGCCCCAGTCCTTTGTGTATTTTGGATAATAGTCCTTTATCACATATGTCTTTTGCAAATATTTTCACTCAGTCTGGCTTGTTTCTCATTTGCTTAAAAACATTAATTTTTGAAGTGGAATGTAGATAAGGCATTGCAAGTGACCAATAAGTTTCTTGTTTCTTTTTTTTCTTTTCCAGTATCTATGCCTTTATTTCTTTTCCTGCCTTGTCACATTGACTGGGATTTTGAGTACCATGTTGAGTAGAGTGGGGTGGTGGTGGTGTATTGGGGGTAATATCTTTGTTTTGTTCCTGATATTAGTGGGAAAGCATTCACCATTAAGTATGATGTTAACTGCACATATTTCCTTGATGCACTTTATCAGGTCTAAGTAGTTCCCTTTTCTTCCTAATTTGCTGAGACTTTCATCATGAATGAATGTTGTCACGTGCTTTTTTACTATTGACTCATAAGATTGTATGGTTTTTCTTCGTTTGTGTGTTGATATAAATTACATTTATTTTCAAATGTTGGCTTAACCTCTTGTATCTCTGTATAGCGCTGGATTTGATTTGCTGGTATTTTTATGGAGGATTTCTACATCTATGTTCCTGAGGGATATTGGTCTGTAGTTTTCTTCTACTTTGTTTTCTTGCTTTGGTTATCAGGGTAGTATTGCCCTCATGAAATGAGTTGAGAATTGTTCCCACTTGTATTTTCAAGAGAGATTGAATGAGTTCTGATAGCTAGACTCAAGAAATTGACTCATTTCATCAAAGTTGTCACATATATATGTGTGGAGTGTCCCTTATCCTTTTACTGTTCATGAAGTCTGTAGTCTTTCCCCTCCCTTGTTCCTGATATTGTTAATATATGTCTTGCTGTTTTTTCTTGTTCAGTCTAGCTAGAGGTTTATCAATTTTACTGATATTTGAAAAGATTTTTCTCTTGTTCTGTTTTTATTTTGTTGATTTCTGCTTTTTTTAATACTAGTTCCTTGTTTGGGTTTCATTTGCTCCTTGAGTTTCTAAAGGTTAAAACAGATTGTGATCTTTCTTCTTAAATATAAGCCTTCAATACTATAAATTTCCCTAGGCATTGCTTTAGCCGAATCTCACAAATTTTGACATATTGTAGCTTCATTTTCATTTAGTTGGAAATACTTTTCTTTCTAATTTATACTCAAGACTTCCTTTTTGACCCATGAATTATTTAGGAGTAATTGTTTAACTTGGAAATTTTCCTGATATCTTCTGTTACTGATTTTTAGTATAATTCCAATTGTCAGGGAATATATTTATATGATTTCAGTTATTTTAAATTTCCGAGGTTTTTCTGTTCTCCAGTTTATGGTCTGTCTTGGTGACAGCTCCATGTGTACTTAAAAAGTTTCGTTTTCAGGGCTCCTGGGTAGCTCAGTTGGTTAAGCATCTGACTCTTTATCTCAGCTCAGGTCTTGATTTCAGGGTCATGAGTTGAAGCCCTGCCTTGGGCTCCATGCTGGGCATGGAGCTACTTAAAAAAAAAAAAAGTTTCAGTTTCATCTACAGGTTCTTCTCTGCTTTTTTCCTCCTTAGCAACTTGTTTGTTCAGGACTCTGTGTGTGTGTGTGTGTGTGTGTGTGTGTGTGTGTGTGTGTGTGTGGTTGTATTCTTTTGATGACCTTTAATATGTTCCTTTATCATCTTCATTTTGGGGGAATATTTGTTGTTATACTTAGAGCAGGTAGTGGTCCTTAAATTTTAGTGTGCATCAGAATTACCTGGGAGGCTTGTTAAACCATAGATTACTAGGCCCCATCCCTGGGGTTTCTGATTTGGTTCGTCTGGGGTGGGGACTGAGAATTTGCATTTCTACCAAGTTAACCTAGTAATGGTGAGTGCTGCTCATCTGGGGACAGTACTTTCAGAAGTACAGCTCTAGGGCAGTTGTGCAACCTTGTCATTATTGACACTTTGAATTGGATAGTTCTTTGTTGATGGGACTATCCTGTGCATTGTAGGAGGTATAGCAGCATGTCTGGTCTCTACCCACCAGATGACAGTGGTTGTGACAAGCAGAAATGTCTTCAGACTTTGCCAGATGCTTCCTGGGGTGGATAGAGGGAGGCACCCATCCCCATTGGGTATCACTGTTCTAGGGTGCCTGGGAAAAACTCTTACATCCATATCTTTAAGTATTTTTCTTTTAGAATGGTTAGATTCTCCTTGGAGACACTATAATATTATAGCCTTCCTGCCCGATGGTGAAGGCCCCCTGCCAGTGTTCTGTTTGATAGATGTGGGGTGAAGGGGTAAAGGCTCAGCATCTAGTATGTCTGTGTTTTCTTAATTTTCTTCATTTTGGTATTACACTCTTGCTTTCATTGTGCCTTGGGTGTTTAGTCCAGAGACTTTGTTTCCTTTCTTTCTTTTCTTTTTTTTTTTAAGATTTTTTTATTTATGTATTTGACAGACAGAGACACAGCGAGAGAGGGAACACAAGAAAGGGTAGTGGGAGAGGGAGAAGCAGGCTTCCTGATGAGCAGGGATCCCGATGTGGGGCTCGATCCCAGGACCCTGGGATCATGACCTGAGCCAAAGGCAAATGCCTAACGACTGAGCCACCCAGGCGCCCCTCTCTCTCTGTTCCCTTTCAAGAAAAGAAAAAATCCTCTAATCTTTTGTCGGGTTTGAGGAGGGGCAACTGTTTGCTTAGTGTGAAGTGAGGATATGTCTGCTTCTGAGACTTTCAAGTAGTCCTCTTTGTTTTAGACCTTAAGCATCTCTCAGCTCATGACCCCCTGCCCTCAGCCTTACAGTATTGCGTCTTCTGGGTATTTTGCAGATTCTGGGGATTTAGCTTTCTGCATTGCCAGTTTAGGATTCGGTTCTCTTGGTCTGCTAAATTAATTGATCAGGTGTCCATGTGATGTCCAGCTTTAAAATTTTGTTCCAGTTGAGATTAAAAGGTCTCAGTTTGTTCTGTCATCTCTTTTTGCTAATCCTATCCCTGAAAGAGATTTGTATCTGGAATATATAAAGAATTTTTGAGGGGTGCCTGGGTGGCTTAGTCAGAAAAGCACACAACTCTTGATCTTGGGGTTTTGAGTCGAGCCCCACGTGGGGTGTAGAGATTATTTAAATAAATGAAACTTAAAAAAAAGAATTTTTGTAACTCAATAATAAAAAGACAAACCAATATAAAAAAAGGTGAAGAATCTGAATAAATAGTTCTCCAAAGAAGATATACAAATAAGCACACGAACAGATATTCAGTGTCATTAACTATCAAGGAAATGCAAATCAAAACCACTAGAATGGCTATACTTAAAAAGTTGGATAATAAATATTGGTGAGGATATGGAGAGATTGGAACCCTTATGTACTGCTGGTGCGAATGTACAATGGTACAGCCACTTAGAATAACATTTTGGTGATTCCTCAAGTGGTTAAATGAAGAGATACATATGACCCAGTAATTCTACATCTAGATATATACCAAAGAGAAATGAAAACCTATTCCACACCAAAACTTGTATATGAGTATTTATAGCAACATTATTTATAAGAGCCCAAAGGTGGAAACAACGCAGATGTCCATCAGTTGAAGAATGGCTAAACAAAATGTTGTATATCCATGTAATGGAATAGTTTTTGGCCATAAAAAGTAAGGAAGTACTGATACATGCTACAACATGGGTGAACCTTGAAAACATTATGCTAAATAAAAGAAGCCAGTTACAAAGACCACATATTATATAATTGCATTTATGTGAAATGTCAAGCATAGGGAAATCTGTAGAGAAAGAAGATAGGTTAGTGGTTTCTTAAGGGTTGCAGTGATGGGGGAATAGGGAGGTAATAGCTAAAGGGTGTTAGTTTCTTTTAGAGAAGATGAAATTTTCTAAAATTGACTTGTGTGATTGCACATATCTGTGAATATACTGAAAACCATTGAACTGTACACCTTAAATGGGCAAATTATATGTGAGTTATACTTCCATAAAGCATTAAAAAATCCTTTACTATTTTAGTGGGGATTTAACAGGATATAAGAGTAGATGTGTTTCTTTGGCATTTTACCTTCAGATCTTAAAATATGCTAAAATGCAATATAATTATAGGTTAGACAATTAAATCATTTATTTCGGAATGACATGAGGGATATTAAAGATTCTGAAAATGTTTTCTTTAAGGTTAGGAAAACACATTTAGATTTAAATTAATCTCATTTTACATATGAAACAGATTATAGTTTATCTGGGTGGATTGGTCCTTGATGTTAGACTTAGGTTTGAATCTAACCGGGGAGTTTATTAGCATGCTGCTCATTACATTGTTACTCTTTCTAGTAGCTACCAAAGGGAGAAATGACATGTCAGTAATAGAATGGTTAAATTATTGATTGGCCTCTCTCTATAGGATATTATCAAATGGTGTTTTACAAAGATTTTGTAGTTATTTGGAAATTGTTACCTTAGATAAAAAGGACATATTTTTAGATAAAGGAAGGAGAGCTCAGATGGAAAAGCTCCAAAATATTTACTGTAGCATTATTTTGCATTATCTTTTTTTTTTTTTT